AGGCTGGCCCGGGAGACGTCCTGAGGGGCAGGACGGGTGGAAGGGAAGGGTCAGCAGGAGGGCCAGGGGTCAAGGTGGGGAAGCTGACAGGAGTGACCGAGGGCACCCCAGTCCCCAGCCTGGGAGGCTGAGGTGCAAGGGAGCATGTGTGGGGGAAAGGAAGCTCTGGTGGAGCCAGGAGCTGTGGGAGCAGGCTCAGGGGGCCGGGAGGAGGGGTGCACTCCGCCTGCTGGGGAGAGGCGGTGGCCGACACTGCAGTCCAGTGGGAAGGCAGACAACACGGACGGGAACAAACTAAAGAGGAGGCGGTGACTGAGCATGATAGGAAGGGAAGAGGGGTGGAGGGACTGAGGGGCAACCTTCAATAGGGCGGCCAGGGAAGGCTGCTCTGAGGAAACAGTGTTTGAGCCGAGACCTCGGCAGTGCAGACACCTGGCTCACCGCAGGCCACGCAGTAAATTCAGGACGAGCCAGGGAGGACCCGTCTCTGGACTCCCGTTCTAATCCTCTCCCTCCTAGAAACCTCCTGCTCTTGGATTATGACATGCTCTCCTGTTGGATTCTCTGAGTCCTCGATGGCCCTCTTCCTCCCAGTCCCTCTGCAAGGTGGGCTATACCCCGAAGGCTCCCAAACTGCCACCGCCATCCCTCACCTCTCCCCTGAGTTCTTGTGTCCTGCTCCACCCCTCTACTTGGATAGACATGCTTCTCTTGGTTAGGACGATATAATAGAGACCTGAATGAGAGTAGTTCAAAGTATTCGTTGGATTGCTCTCTCATCCAAGAGAAGTGTTTCAGGGGCAGACTACTCAGCTCCACGGGGTCATTTAGGGACCCAGACAAATGATGGTACTGCTCAATCTTGAACACGAAGTTTCCAGGCTCTCTCTGGCTATCACTCTTCCAGCCAATGTGAGGGGAAAACATGGAAGTCTACACCAGGAATGTCCTCTTAAGCAAATGAGGCAGAAGTTGAACATATCACTTCTGCCCACATTCCACAGAGGTAAATTTAGACATATGGCCCCATCTAGCTGCAAGGGAGGCTGGAAATGTGACCCTGGACAGACAGCTCTAGTCTCTACCATAGTCTATTCTGTAGAATGGTGAGGACATCCCTGCCCTGGTCATGGAGGGAGTTCTCTAGGGGTGATCTTACACCCGTGTCACCCTGGCCCCTGGGCTTTGCCTTTTGAGAGATTCCTCCTTGTCTGTCTGTCTCCACTACCACCCAACAGGTGGTTGACAGTCTGTCCTCCTTGGGTGCTTATCTGTGCTGAACTGAATAGTCATGGGCTTTTGATGTCCTGGTTTGAAATTTTGTTAGTAATTTTGTTAGTAGGCTTCCGGTCTGTCCACTTCTAGTTAGTTCCATAAACCAGTAACTTTCTTACAGAATCATGGAGTCTGTCTGCCTTGCCTAATTCATGTCTTTCTCATTTTAAATGGAAGTTTCCCTGAGGATACGTGGAACAAACACTTCAATGACAAGACAACACATTCAACATACTTTAACACAGGCGTAATCCCTTTGTTTGGCTTAATGCTTGGCCTAACAGGCAGGCTTTGAGAAAGGCCCTAACAGTCTAATCTCCTGCTCTTTGGACAAACCAGTTGGCTTTCCAACCTCGAGGACTTCAGTTTTCTGGACTCTCTTTTTCTGCCCATCTCTCCTTGCAAACTGGCCAATCTCTCCCTTGAAACAGTATACTAAAAGCGTCATTGGGCAGCGAACATACACAAATATTTTGGCTCTTTGATCATTTTTCTAGAATTATAGGCTCAGTAAGCATGTGGTCTGTCTTCCAAATGATCACAGGTAACGCATTGATAAATGTTTTGTCACAGTATAACAAGTGTCACCAGCTTTCCCTCCAATATTTCTTTCCGTATTGCTCACCACCGGATGGCTAAGCCAACGCCTCATGCTTCAGGGTTTTTATAACTGGCAGCTTCCCATTCCTGGTACCAGTTTCTGTATCAGAGGACAGCCACGTACCACCTAATAACATTTTGGTCAACAAAGGACTGCAGAGACAACAGTGATCTCATGAGATTATAATGGAGCTGAAAAATTCCTACCGCCTAGCGATGCTGTGGCCACAGTGACAGTGTTGTGCAACGCGTTCCCCACGGGTCTGGGGGGTGCTGGCGTAGACACACGGCCCCGCCGCCCTATGCATAAAGTGTGGCGCATACACGTATGTACGGTACAGAATACTTGGCGATGATCATAAACAACGGTGTCACTGGTTTATGTGTTTACTACACTCTACTTTTTATCATTGTTTTCGTGTACTCTTGTGCTCACCAGAACTGTTTGCTGTGAAGCAGTCTGCCATGGTATGCCAGCAGCCTCTTCGTGCGTCTCCTGTTCACCGCGTCTTCGCTGCATCGTTTTCTCTTGTGCGTGACTTAATCTCCTGGTGTTCTGTCGGGTCGCATGCTGCAGAGACTTGCAGCCAAGGAGCCACAGGCTGTGCCACGGGCTCTGCCACACAGGCTAGGGGTGCAGCACGCTAGACCGCCTGGGTTTCTGTAAGTGCACGCCACGATGTTTGCACAGGGGTGAGACATTGTGCATGGCTGTATTGCTGGGCTGCTGTTAAGAGGAACCCCCACATACAGTGGTTTTAAGATGACAGGAGTTAGTATTCCTCTCACAGAATCTCATTCTGATTTGAGCATGTCAGGCCTCACCTGCTGGGCGGTGGGTTTGGTGGCTGTCCCGCAGACCCCACAGTGGCTCTCCCGTTCCCAACGTTCTCTTCCGTCAGTGGCCATCTAACCCCTGGGCCGAATACATAAAAGTCAGCCTCGATTCCACCCCCCCAATCTAATCTATCAGCAGAGCCTCTCAATTCTATCCTCAGATGAACCCCAAATCTGAACATTTCCCCGCATCTCCATTGTCTTCACCCTGATGCAAGTGTTCAGTGTCTTTATCCGGAGTCACGGGACAATCTCAGCAGACTCTCTGCTTCCCCCCTGGTCCCTTCCTGGTCTACTCTCCACATGGCAGCCACGGTGAGCTTTTAAAAACATAAATTGTTAAAAAAATTTTTTTCTTTATTGATTTTAGAGAGAGAAGAAGGGAGAGAGAGAGAAACATCGATGAGAGAGAACATCAACTGGCTGCCTCCTGCATGCCCCCCACTGGGAATCTGGCCCACAACCTGAGCATGTGCCTTCATTGGGAATCGAAACGGCGACCTCTTGGTGCATGGCTTGATGCTCAACCACTGAGTCACACCGGCCAGGCGTACATTGGAGTGTGCAGCTTCCCTGCTCCAAACTCCGGTGCCCTACCATTGCCCTTAGGATAAAATACTGTCTACTTAATAGGGCCAGCAAGGCCTCTCGCCCCTGTTTTAGCTGCACAGGATTTCTTGATATCCCCGAATAAGCCAACCTCGTTCCTGCCTTAGGGCCTTTGCACTAGGGTGCGTTTCCTCTGCCCAAACACTCCCCTCCCACTTGGGCACACGCTGAATCCTTCTTTGTCCTCCACAGGCAAATGGATACAGTGTGGTGGATAAGAAGAGGACTTAGCCAAGTTGCCTGGGTTTGCATCTCAGCCCTGCTGTGTGACCTTGAGGCAAGTTGCTTAGCTTCTCTACTATGCCTTGGCTTTCCTATCTGTAAATGGCCATCATAAAAGTACTTGTTACCCAGTGTTGCTGAGAGGATTAAATGCAGTAGTTAACACATTAAATGAGTTAATGCATAAAAAGCAATTCAGAGCATGGCACACATTAAGCACTTTGTAGTGTTATTATTGTCCTTCAGGTGTCACCTTAAATATCACCCACTCTGACAAGCCTTTCCTGGCCACCCCTCCACACATCGCTGGGTCTGCATCCTGATCACAGCACCCACAGTGCATGTTCTTGTTTCCTGTTTATTGTCTGTGTCCACCTCCCTCTGCCCCCCACGCCAAAATGTAACTTCCAGAGGGCAGGGACATTCCTCAGCCGATACACAGTGGGTTCTCAATAGTCTTTGTTGAAAGGCTATGGAAGGAATAGAAGCAAATGCCACCAATTCCCTCCTTTCCCAGTGGTCCCTGCGGGGAGCCTGCAGGGGGCACTGCTCTATGAGGACAGTGTCACAGTTTCCTTGTGGGAGTTGGGACACTCGGCAGAGGACCTACTCTTAGAAGCCTCTGGGGCACTGCTAGGTACCAGCTATAGAGCATGGACTCTGGAGTTGGCCCCACTGGGCCCATCAGCTGCGTGTCCCCTCTGTGCCTCCATTTCCTCGTATGTAAAATTGGGGGAAGACCAATTACCTCACTGTTAGGAAGATTAAATAGGATAATATATGTAACACAAAACTCACTGGCTGGCTTGGAGTACAATTCTCCAGATGGTAGTTGTTGTTGCTGCTGCTGTTGTTGTTAGTGGCATATCCAAGTGTCATTCTTCTGGGGTGTCCTAGGGATTTGAGGGGGGTAAGGTAGCAAGGAGACAAACAGAGAGAAGACATACAGGGAAGAGAAGAACCGGAATGGAACGATAGGTTGTGTTTGTATTCCAGCGTGTCGGGGGGTGGGGGGGAGCGACAGAGAGAAATTCAACCCTCCCTCCGAACTCAGTTCCGGGGAGCCGGGTGCCCCCCGCTGTGAGGACAGCCGGGAGCTGCCACCGCCACGGGTGCCCAGCGCGGAAGCAGAATACCAAGCGCCTCGAGCGTCTCTCCGAGATTACGGGCCAGGGAAGGGGAATGTGAACCCTGCGGCCACCTCGGTTTCTACAGACTTGGGGATCCCAGGACGGACCTCTGCTGCCCCGCCGCCCGGCAGAGCCGCGTGCTCTTGCGGCTCCGGCTCCCGGAACCCCGCGGGCGGGGCCTGCCTTCCGGAGCGCCGGTGGGGGCGGGGGGCGCCTGGAAAGGGGCCGTTACTTTCCCAGAGTGGCGGGGCGACGTCAAGCGGAAGGGCGCGGGGCGCGCACGCTTTAAATGGCATTCGCTGTCATCGAGCTGTCGCCGTGTGGGCAGGAGCCGGCTATATAAGCGGCGGCCGGCCGCCGCGGGGCACACGCGCAGCAGCGGCGGCGGCGAGCGCCTCGGATCGCGGCGGAGCAGCATCCCGAGCTCCGCGCATCCCCGACGGGCCCTCCGCCCGCCCTCCCGTGGAGCGCCACCCGGGCCCGCGAGGGCCGCCGCCACCCCACAGCAGATTTGGATCCCCCGCCCGGCGAACCCCAGGCTGCTGCCTCCCGGGGGGCCCCGGCGCAGCGGCCGGCCCCGGACAGCCCCGCCGCCCCGCCGCCCGGCCCCGAGGACGCCGGCAGCGCCATGGCGGCCGCCAAGCCCGGCGAGCTGATGGGCATCTGCTCCAGCTACCAGGCGGTGATGCCGCACTTCGTGTGCCTGGCCGATGAGTTCCCGCAGCCGGTGCGGCCCGCCAAGCTGACCAAGGGCAAGGGCCGGCTGCGGCGGCCGCGCCAGTCCCGCTTCAAGACGCAGCCGGTGACCTTCGACGAGATCCAGGAGGTGGAGGAGGAGGGGGTGTCTCCCATGGAGGAAGAGAAGGCCAAGAAGTCCTTTCTGCAGAGCCTGGAGTGCCTGCGCCGCAGCACGCAGAGCCTGTCGCTGCAGAGGGAGCAGCTCAGCAGCTGCAAACTGAGGAACAGCCTGGACTCCAGCGACTCCGACTCGGCCCTGTGAGGGGCGCCGCCAGCAGCCGGGACTCGCACGCCTCGGGGCCGGCCGGGTGCTAGCGTGCGAACCCGGGCAGGGCCCGCGCCCCGGGGACCCCGAGGACCCGGGACGACGGCCCCTCGCACGCCTGGACTCCCGCCAAGCTGAGAACTGGTGGGTGCGCCCCGCGCTGCGCTCGGACCCAGGGCGAGCGCGCCTGGGGACTCCAGGAAGGGGGCCGCTTTGTTTGCCCTTGTAAATGTTTATTTTTAAACTGCCCAGTACGAACTCTGCCGTGAGTGTGTGCGGGGAGGCGGGCGTCGCCAGGGCTTCCCGGAGAGCCGCTCCACGCCCTTACCCGATGGTCTGCAACTCCGATTTTGCACACCGCTCCACCACCGTGCCCCCAGCGCACACCCGTTCACACTCACGCCAACACACTCTCGCTGAACACTTTTATAATTGTTAGGCGCGGCCGATGGGACTTAGGGCGCAGCGCAGCTGCTGCTGCGGCCGGAGGATTGATATTTATTTTTGCATTGCGATGGCTGACGGCGTTTATTTAACGATCTTTTTACCTGGATATGTCTGTGAGGCTCCGGAACGGAGACAAATAAAGTCAGTTATATTTGCACAGTGCATTTCTCCAGGCTCTTGACTTCTTGAACCTTCGGGGCCCAGGCTCCCAAGACTGGGGGAGGTGAGGGAAGGATGTGGCTGGAATGGGAGGCCAGGGATCCCCAAGTGGAAGTAACTCCACAAGCTTCGGTCACTGGAATGAGGTCGCGGCCCCGGTGCCCGGGTCCATTGCCTGCCTCTCCAAGTGGATCCAACACCCGGCTTAGAGCGCCGGGCCTCCCTGGTCTGTACCCGTCGCTGGCCTCTGGGATGGAACTGAAGCCGCTGGTGAGGCCAAGGTCGGCTCTGTAAGGATGGAGAGAGCCCTTCCCGGTGCAGCTGACTTCTCAGGGAGGCTGGGGTCCGGGACATAGCCCCCTACCCACCTCAGGAGACCACACTCACTCCGTGCCTTTTCCTGGGGGGAGATGCCTGAGTCAGCAATGGAGAGCTCAGGCGGGGGTATTTGGTAGTGGGACCCGAGCTGGGGGAGAGTGTGGGTGTGCCCTCGCTGTTGCGTGCTGACTCTGAGGAGTGCCCAGGACCCTGTCCCGCGGGAGCAAACAGCGGTTGTTTTCAGTACTTTGGTTCCTCTGTGCAGCCCTTCACTTTGCCCTCTCGGGGTTCAGCGAGGAGGGTGGGGCATGTCCTAGGTCAGAGCCAGAAGGGCGCTTGGGTATCCCCGAGTATCCTCACCCCTTTTGTTTATGGATGAGACTACAAACCTAAGCAAGCAGCGAGGGCAAGGTCACAGGGAGGGTAGCGTGGGAGTCGCATCCAGCTCTCCTGATTCTGCATCCAGTGCTCCTAACGTCGCAGGAGCCTTTCCAGTGCTTCCCAGCAGCTGCCCCGCGTCCCTGTCCCTGCCCTAAACCCTAGAGGTTAGCAGTGCCACTTGGCAGCCGGTGTTGATGGGGAAACAAACAACATTCGGTGGAGCAGGGCAGGATTACCACTTGGAGCCCCTACTACCTACCCCTGCAGGGTTACTTCAGAGTTGACCCACCATTCCAAGCTGAGAGCTCGGGTGCTTTTCTACTCCTCTCTCCGGGTTGCCCTGTTTTCGTGCTTGGGTGCCCTCTGGTGGTGGGGGCTGGTGCTCGGCCCAGCCCCGCAGGGGGGTCTCACTCTTCACAACACCTCGTGGCCTGCAGGCTCTGAGAAAACGAGAGCAGAGTAAGTGAAACAAAGAAACAAAAAATAAGAGCATCTTTCTGTTTTACTAGATGGGATGCTGCTCAGTTCATGGATTGTTGAATAAAGCTACTTAGATCTTTTTAAAAAAAGAAAAGAAACAGAACCCACAGGGCCTGAATGTCCTCCTCACTGGCTCAGAGAGAGGACAGGCACAGGGTCTCAGACCCGGGTCTTTGGCACTGTCCTAGCCCTGGGGAACACACTGGCCACGACAGTCCCATGACTGCCGGTCCCACTGTGGTGAGAGCCCAAGACAGAGGGCCCTTACTTGCAAGCGCCTGAGCCTGGTGAGGCAGCTGTGGGCAAGGCTTTGATTCCGATGTCTGCAGCTGCCATGGCTGGGCTGGTTCGGGCCCCTTGGGGTGGGAGGGGGGTTGCTGATGCTCTGAATCCCCTCGCCCCCATTCTCCTCCCTCAGTCTGCGCCCACCCCATCTTATATCTTAGCGGTAGCTCCTGTTTCTACTCTTCAGGGGCTAGTGCCGCAAAGCTTCCTGGGGTGTCACACCCTGTAGCCTGAGATCCTGGCATGGGTGTCTCCCCTATGGACACCACGGTTCCCCTCTTTCTGTTGGAAAGCCTCCTTCTGCCATCTACCCTCGGCCCCTCCCCCAGCCGAAGGCCTCCTCCGGTCACCCCGGCCAATATCCAGGGGTTGTTGTGGGGACCACATCCCATCACCCCAATTTCTGCTCAGCCGCTGACAGGGCCCAGCAGAGTCAGTGCTTCCGAAATGTTTGTTGGGTTAAAATGAGTGAGGAAGATTGATGATCATCTTGACTACTTTCTGGTTTGGCTTTAAATCATTCCATTGAATAGATGTTTCCCGTTTAATCAAGCTAATTCCCATCTCTTTGGTATCAAAGTGGTGTCCAATCTGCCCCAGTGTCTTTGTTTGGCCTATAACTGGCACTTAGTTCTCAGGGTTGGATACAGAAGAAGGTTTGGAAGAGGCAGCAGCACAGACAGAGAGGGGCTCGGCGAGGTGGGGATGCTGCAGTGTTAGAGGCGGCAGGCTGTCGGGCTGCTCTCTGCGCCTGAGCATCTCCGCCCTGCACAGAAGAGGAAGCAGGGGAGACTGGAGGGGTCCTCTGAGGTCCCTGTGGAACTGCCAGGGTTGGAGGCATTGCAAGGCAGCAACAGCTCCACGGAGGCAGGTGGGCTGGGCTGGGAGGCCAAATGGTGGACGACAAGGAAAGAGAGGGAGAGAGATGGACTGACAGAGCAGGAGAGCATGAGAAGCAGAAAGATGGGGAGGTTTGAGACCGGGGGTGGGGGTGGGGGGACAGGGAAACTTGGAGACATGGAGAGATGGGGAAATACAGAGAGAGTCAGAAAATGTCAAGAGATGGACAGAAATAAGGGCCACTTTTGGAGTGAGAGAAAGGGGCCCATAGAGAGCAGGAGGGAGGGAAGGAGAGAGAAAGTACTCTGGAGAAGGGACATTGGAGGAGAGAGAAACTCCAGTGCGGGCGCCTCTCCAGGGGCTGCCGGGCTGGCATGTGCCCCGAGTGGGTGGGAGCCTGTCCAACCGTCTGGATTTATGGTGTTGGGATTTACAGGCTTGTCCAAGGAGACGCCTCCCCCCTGCCCTTCCCCGTCTGGGCTTCAGCCCCTGGTCCTAGCCTGGGTGACCAGTTTTCAAACAAGCTGGATCCCAGAGGAGGTAAATAGTGGCCATCCCAGCTCTGTCTGGCAGCCTCTTCTAAATATTTCTCTTTGGCCCAGGGGGAGATATTTATCAGGGCGTTTCTTGGACAGTTTCGAAAGCCAGCTTGGCCTCTGCAGCCTCCTGGGTGCCATTTCTGGGCCTGCTTGGCATGGGGTTGAGCGTGAAGGGCTGTCTGTGATTCCAGGGAACGTGGTCCGCCGTGGACTTGAGCACCCTCCTTCCGGGAGCACGTGTGGAGGAGACCCGAGGTCCACTGGGTTCTGGCAAAGTGGGGAGGGGATAAAGGCCACCATTGGGCGAGCACCTCCTGTGGGTACTCTACTTTCTTCCTGATAACCTTTCCCGGGCATTTTACAGGTGAGAAAACCGAGGATCAGAGGGTTAGGTTTCTTGCCCAGTGCCACACAGCTAGGGAGTGATGAGCTGGGTTGTAACCCAGTTGTTGTTTTTAATTTCAAAGCCTGTGTTCTTTCTAAGATACGGACCCAACTTCTTACTGTAACCCCTGCGGCAGCCGTGAGAACGGGCCCGCAGACCTCCTGTCACAGGGCCTGTAATAGATCAGAGCAGGCAGCTCTCGCTTGAAACCCAGCCCATGTGGCACGGCTGCTCCCCACCAAGGGCTGTGTGCACGGCTAGGAAACTAAGGCAGAACTGCTCCTGGGGAACATGAGCATTCTTTGTTGGTGGGCTTGGGCTCAAGGATTTCCCAGTGACTCTGCAAAGCCTTCTTAGACGCCAGGGCGATCCGTGGACACCTCCCCCTCGCTCCTCTAGGGTCTCTTACAGGGCAGCCTGCTGGCTCCGTCTCTGTTCCGTTTCACACAGCATGCCTCCTAACGAAATCTTTACATGCTTAATCTCATCACGGAACCTGCTTCTCAGAGTACCCGGCTGCACACTCTTCCGCCTCCCAGCAGGGTTCCGGTGCCGCTGTGCGCCCCAGGCCCCCACTGGCACAGGGGAGGGTGGTGGGCATCAATGTAGAGAGCACTGTGGGGACATGGCAAAGCTCCCAAACAAATATGTGTGGTGCTGGTCTGCTGGTCCCGTGTTCTGGATGGGGAATAAGCATGCCGCGGCCTGTGTGGGGGGTGGGGACGAGGGCCCCGTGTGGACAGTCATCCTCAAGGCCTACGCTTAAGGCCATATGACTCGTAACGACCGCCTGTGCATTCAGCTTCTAAGCCTGGTAGACACTGCTCATTGTTCACCGACAGTGATTCCCCCCTCCAGGACCCCCAGCCAGGCTATGTCCCAGACGTTTTTCCATTGAGGTCTATCGATGGGATTAAGTTTTTGCCAGGGGCCTACATTGGGAAGAAAAGTGTGTTTCTCCCAGGCCTTGGTCTTAAAGTGTACCCTTCCCCTACCCCCGTGTTCTCTTTCCCTTTCCCACAAGTGGGAACATGGATGTGTCTGCAGCCCAGCGGTGGTCAAGCTGACAAGGCCACCGGCTTAGGGGACGGCAGAGGAACAAGATTAAGGGTGTTGTCCCCCCTACCAGATTTACTGCTTTGGAATCCCCCGCCCCCCAGTAGGCTGAATTAAAGGACGAGAAACAAAGTAACAAAACCAGGTCAGAACTCTGCTGCGAACGCGTCCTGGGGGTGGGTATCGGCAGGAGGAACTGGCTGGAAGCCCCTAGACCAGAAATTGCTAAGGAAAATAGGAATTGGCAGGTGATCCCATTGTTTGAGCCCCAAGGCAACCTCCGGGGAGCCCAGACCTTTAACACCTGCTTCAGATGTGGTCACCGAGATGGTGGGGACAGGAGAGTCTTCCAGAACCAGGCTGGCCAGATGAGCCAACCAGAGCCAGTCCGCACTGTTGAGCCAGCACGATCGGCCTGTTGCTGTGCACCAGGGGCTTCCCAGGGTTCCCGCTTCCCGGTCCACATGGGAGCATCCTGTTGGGGTGGGGGGGTGCAGCTGGGTGGCGGTGGGGAACAGACGACTTGTCTTGCAGTTTGTATATGTCACTGGACCCTGCGGAACCATGTGTGGCTCTGGAGAGGACTTCCTGTCCCCCAGAGACCCAGCACTTTGACCTGGAAGTGTAAGTAGGTGGAGTTTGGGGCCGACTTCCTGGGAGGGGCAGAGGGGTTCTGTTGCGGGAAGGAGGATGGCAGGATGTCTGGAGCCAGCCAGCACCC